GTTATAGACTCTGCCTGCTTTCACTAAAGAGCCATAATCTCCTGCCTTAGGGTGTAGAACAGCAACCTTATTTACAGGGGTATTTGCTGCCCTCACAATCCATAACATGTCACAATCCCTCCTGCTTCTTTGGACTTTCCATCTCCCATGCTTGGTGCAAAAATATACTTTCCCTGGCAAGCTGTCTTTGCAACCTGTGGAAGTTCCACTATGCCAGTGACGAGACTGACTTGCTGTACTGCCCCCTATCTTTTGCTTCATGAAATTATGACCTGGAGCCATGCCCTTTCCAAGTTAATTCATGTTTCGGAGTCAGTGAAGTCAATCATCTAATGATCAAGAAATTGTTGTGTGACAACTACCATCTTGAAATTGTCTATGAGCCAAAAGATCACCACTGGTCTTCAGTGAATCAGAATTACAGTATGGGCAGGCATGGTGCATGTGAGTCGGACAACCACTGCAGGAAGTTGCTTCATGCCATTCCAAACTACTTGGTAGTGGTCTCCCCAGCCCGGTGCCTTCCAGATGTTTTAGATGGCCAATACTAATGGAAGTTGAAATCGAAGGCATCTGTGGAGCTCCAGCTTGGGGAAGGCTGGTCTAGCCCCAGTTTTCTTTCTTCTGACTAGTAGGATTGCAGCCTCAGACAAAGGTCTCTCCCCTCACCTGCAATCTCATCCTTTTAAGTGGAGGACTGAACAGGAGACCTTCCGGAAGCAGGTCTGTTGCCTTACCACTGAACTCTGGCTCCTGCTGTGGACTTCATATTCCTGTTCAAGTATTCCAGCCCCAGTCCTCATGCTGGAGTCACTGAGCACAATAACGAGTATAACTTTGGTTTTTCAAAGGCGCCAGTAATATTTTGCTGCAAAAGGGGTGTTTTGTGGATTTACACCCTCTCAGCAAGATCTTCATGTCCCCCACCCCCAGCAGAGGATGAGGTGGCTGGATGGAGTCACTGAGGCAGTCGGTGCGAGCTTAAGTGGACTCCGGGGGATGGTGGAGCACAGGAAGGCCTGGAGGCATGTTGTCCCTGGGGTCGTGAAGGGTCGGACGCGACTTTGCAACCAGCAACAAGCACAAAATTGAGCATGGACCGACTTCCTCAATTAGCTTCCTAATGACCAGAAACTGTGGAAGTTGCAGGCTAAAACAGGTGGACGGCACCAGCCTGAGAAAGGCTCCTAGAGATAGGAAAATGACTTCCACATCTCTGGACAGGAACATTAACTGTGATCTGCCTGAGCAAATGTAATTGTACTACCAAAGCATTTATGAAATAAGTTTAGCTTTTTTTTTTAACTGTCGCATTTGCTCAGGAATTATTAGCCCTCATCCATTCCATTTTATGTTTCCCTTGCACCAGCTGATAGTACATTTCAGCTACTGCAGCTTGCCCAAGAGCTGTGGCTTTTTCCTGTTGCTCAGCTGTACATGCAGTTTCTTCTTGAGTCAGCATTTCCTTTCCAGACCCCAGTAGAACATTTTGCTGAGTCACTATCCCATGTTTCCTTGTAAGGAAGGCTTCACTTTTGCTGAGTAATGCATGATCCTCCTCTGAGGTTAGATTCTGGCATTGTTCACTGCAGCTGCAACAGAAACAATCACTTTGCAAAGAGCGTGTGTGTGCTATAACTGGTAATGCAGAATATCTCATCTTGTAACAATGGCGAAAATAAAGAAATAGGAACACGAGGACTGTCCAGATGGTAGTTCTCATTGTTCTAACAGCACAATCTCATGCATGTTTAGCCAAAGATCTCCTGCAATTCTATGCAGCCTCAGTCAGCCATATGACGGAGCAGAGATTCAGTGGTGTTGTTGCCACATTAACTATGGAAAACACTTTGCTGGATTTTTTTTTCCTGGCAGGACTTCTCCACAAAGAGAGAAAATGCAGCAATTATTCCCATTTTCCAGAGTCTGCAGTTGATTGCTCCCAATTTTTGCTCCAAAATGGCATCATCAACCCCATTCATTCCTGCAATGTGGCCCACGATAGCGTCCTCAAAATAGAATTTGGCCCTTGAGCTGAAAGACGTTTGAGTCCCATGTTCTAAGATTGTTCTAGCCATCCAGCCAGCGCTATTTAGGAAGAAAAAGAAGCTCAACTAAAATTTTTAGAGGAATGAATAATGGAATATGCGACCTTTCATCCATGGTAGTCAAGGCAGCATGCATGGTTTCTCCCGCCTACATTTTATCCTCACAGCAACATAGTACGATAGGCAGGTTGGGAAATAATGATCAGCCCAAGGTAATCTCAAGACCTTGATGACAGAGCAGAGATTTAAACCCAGAGCTCCTCTCCAGCGTGCAACAGACTGGACAGTAATAGCAACTGTGCAACATGTTATTAAACCCTGATCAACATGGGCACTTTGTGACACCAAGGCTCGTGCCACTTTTTCTGCTGTAACCTGAAAGATTTGATTGGGCAACAATAATGAACAGATGGGTGACATCAGTGACATGATTGGGATAACATCGTCACTGCTTTCTATGAGGTAAATCAGGTTTTGGAGTGTGATTCAAGAGACTACTCTGTGGAAGACAGTCTCCTGAAGGATTTCATCTGTGCACCTTCGAAGAATTCCTTGGTAATAGACCTGCACCATGGTCATCACATGGAACAATTAAGCAGTCATCAGCATATCTGGTGCCTTGCTGTATCAGCTGATGAGAAGAAGATTCATCAGCCTGATGAAAGTACACACAGGTAACAGCTTTGTGTGATACATCAGAATAAAAATGGCATAAGTGCTGGCCTAGTACTGCAGTATTTATTCATTTATTTTACTTATTTATTTAAAACTTTTCTAGACTGTCCCATTACTGAAGTCTTGGGATGGTTTAGCACTACAAAATGTAAAAATAAAACACAGTGTCCTAAAAATTCAACTAACAATAAAACCCCAATTAACATAGTCAGGTCTTAAAACATTGGACAAATAAAAAGGTTTTGGCCGGGCACCAAAAAGAATAAAGTGATGGCATCAGGTGAACCTTCCTGGGAAGCGGATTCCACAATTGGGGAGCCACCTCAGAGAAGACCCTTCTCTGGGTCGTCACCCTCCTAATCTCCTTCAGGGAGGGCACCTGGAGAAGGGTGTCTGCCCCAGATCTTAGGGAAGGAGACGCTTCCATATGCGTAGTAGTAGAGAGCAGCAGAGTAAAGGACATTTGCAAGAGTGCTCTGGAACATTCTGGTGGCTTTGAGAGAAGAGAAGTGAACTTGAAAAAAAAACCAAACGCTAAGCTGAGTCAGTCACACTGGATGGGTGCTATTGCAATCATATGCTGCTTGTAGGCTTGCTGTTGCAGCAGCTGGTTGGCCACTATGGAGGAACATTGGATTGGACTAGAGAGCCTTTGACCTGATTCACTAGGACTCTTCTTATGTTTCTCCAGCTGACGTGTTATCTTTCCTGTATTTTCAGTCACTTAACATGTCTGCCTCTTTAAGATAAAACAAATGGAAATGATTGCAATCTACTAGCCATTGTCTCCGTGTATCTTTCTCATTCTGGCATGATTTTCTCTTTCTCATTTCTTGATATGAATTTTCTCCTACCTTCTTCCTTGCCCAATGGGCTACCAGAAGATGAGAGATTGCCCATGGCCAGAGGCTGGAGCTGACCACTTAAAAGTGGCTTTGGGGATTAGAGTGCAGGTCACAGGTTGCTCAGTCCTGTTGTAGATGAATTAATTTGTATCAGGATTCCTCTTACCACACTATTATTCCAATTATTGATTTTTGCCTTGCATTGCCAACTTTATTCACTGCCCGTGCTCTTGAGATTTCCACAGTAGTTTGTTCTGCCAATAGTGGTATATGATACTAATATGTCTATGTCAGGGAAAACTGTTGATGATTTCTAAGAGAAAGTTGAATGCAAAATAGCTGTGGTACAACAGATTCAAGGTCAATCTAGCACAATGTTCCATGTTCAACAGTTTCCCACCAAGTTCCTCCTAAAAGCCAACAAGAAGGTCATGAAGGCAACTGGTTTTTCCCTTGGATTGACTCCAGCATCTGCAGAGGTATCCTGCAACTAAACATGGAGGTTCTATTTAGCTATCATAAGTGCTATTTCTATAGATTTTCCCTGTTTCCATATGGGCTCCTAACACAACCCATCAAAGGACGTTGTACAGCTGTTCTATCTTTTCTTCCGTGGTAAGAAAGAAGATAAATGAAGCAGTGAGAAAACACAAAAGGATTATTAGTAGAAGACAGCTATGTCTCAACCTCCTGTAAAACTCCATGAATGAGGCATAGTGAAGGCACCATAAAATTCTCATCTGCAAGCACCCCAGACCGTAATAAAAAAGTTCAACTGATCATTTTATTCCTGGTCAGCTGACAACCCCAACCCTAACTTTTTCCAGAGGGTCAAATACAAGGTACCATTTTCAGATAGGGTTGCAGCTGGGGGCATTGAGGGTAATCCACAATAGGTACTTTCCCAGACAACCCCTGAGGGGGAATACCGAGGGGCCTCCATACTAGGGGGTCCTCCGGTGAAATGGTGTTGCCCCACCAGTTCAGTACCAACAACCAATATGGACGTTGTAGGGTCATTCAACTGGCTTTCAATCAGCAACGGGACTGTACTCTAAATCTATGAACAGTAGTGTAATAAACTTTCTCCTTCATCTGCTGCTTTTATAAAGCAAAGGCATATTCCAACCAGAGCTGCAATTTCAAATAATATCCCGTCCTCGAGATTATTCCTTGTTGCAAACCTCAGCCTAGGCACAATGTTCAGCATTCTTCACAAAGACGACTCTTGACCTCCTGTTGTGCTTAGTTGCCAAGCCGCGTCATGTGACTCCCCCTCCCTTCCCAGAAGAGGAAGAAGAGGGAAGGGCTGAGCTTTCTCAATGAGGGTAGGAGAGAGGAGAGGGAGGGGGGAAATCCATGCGTGTTGCAAGGCAATGGCACGGTGCGGTCAGATGTCTTTCTGGCACGGATCACGTGATCACAGGATAAAAGTATAAAGAAAGATGCAGAGCCGGAGCTGCCTAACTCAGAAGCTGGTCATTCTCAGGAGAGAAGGAAACGAGAGCGCGAAAGGGAGAAGAAAGATCGGCTGAAGTGCCGCAAGGAAAGAGGCAAGGATGGCACAGCGCTCGGAAGGGTGAGTGTGGCTTTGGAAACAATCATTCAAAGAAATCAAACCCTACTTTCTACTTTTCACGCCCGTTGAGCATCACTGTCTACGAGCTCTCTCTCTCTCTCTCTCTCTCTCTCTCTCTCTCTCTCTCTCTCTCTCTCTCTCTCTCTCTCTCAATCTCTCTAGTGTGTGTATGTGTGTTCCTACATACACACACACTTCTGCCACTTGAGGTGAATATGCGAGGCGCTGGTAAGGAGCCCCTGATGTTTACCTGCCGTCTCTGCTCCCAACAGGATGTCTCGGGACCTGTCCGAAGCCCTGAAGGAAAGCACCAAAGAGGTGCATGCGGAGGCAGAGAGCACAGAGTTCATGATGAGCTTCCAGAAAGGGAACGTGTCGCTTCATGAATTTAAGGTACCCAAGAGCTGGATTGAAGCAGAGGTGGAGGGAAGAGGGCTTTAAGATGCAATTCCGACACAGGACGCCGCCTTAAAGTCGTCCCAGTTTAATACCATGGAAACATTTGTCTCAGTCAGGCTTCACCAACTTGGCTCCCTCCAGATGTGCTGGACTACAACTCCTATCATCCCAGGCAGCATGGCTGTTGTAGTCCAATGCATGGGGGGGTAGGCTGGAGAAGGCTGATCAAATGTAATATAGTACTCATAAACAGACTTGGAATTTGTGCTTTAACTGTTTATCTGCACAGATATTATTCACCATTTCTACTAGGAGTGTAATATTCAGCTGATGGAAGTAGAGCAGCTTTCCCCAATCTGGTCCCCTCCAGAAGTTTTGGACTTCAACTCCTATTAGCCCTAGACAGTATGGTCAGGTGTATTGGGAACTGTTCAGATGGTCCAGGTCGGAGAAGGCTGAATTAGAGCCCATTACAGCCCATTTAAAATCACTTTGAAATAAACTAAAATGTTGCCACTAAAGAATTGGAATGCATTTTTTTAATTAATAAAAGCTGTGCATGATGAGTATATCTTATAAGGAGCTTTCCCCACTAAACAGGAAAGTATTATTATTTGCATTTATACTGCACCCTTTGTCCAAGGAGCTCAGGGTGGCATACATCCTTCACTCTCCCACACTTAACCTCACAACAACCCTGAGAGGTAGGTTAACTTGAGAGAGTATGGCTGGCCCAAGGCCACCTAGTTGGCATAGTAGCTGAGCAGGGATTTCAGCATGGTTCAAACTGTAGTCCTGGTTCAACAATCTAACCACAACACCACTTTGACACTCAAAACTACTTTTTTCCATTTAATGCATATGGAAATGCTTCAGTTATGACTGTTCTTCCATGCATCAACTAAAAGTAAATTGTGTAGATATTAGTATTGCTTTTACTTCTATACAACTTGCATTTTTAATTAATTGACTAAAACTGATACAATTAACTAAGATTTTGTTAAGTGGCTGATAATTCTAATTCTTATGCTCAATGAGTTAAAATTTTCATGGTAGGTAATTTCATGGTGATTTCCACTTACATGTGTCATCAAACAGGAAGATAAAAGGAGACATGGAGAAATTTGCACAAGCAAATTTATATGTCTAGATTGAGATTTAGAAAGAATTACTCTCATTTAAAAATAAATGCCATAAATCTCACCATAGAGGAGAAGACTACAAGCAGGTGACCTGTACTTCTCTTCAATCCACTGCTGTTCAGGCACTAATTCTTGGTGGGCAGCTTCAGGGCCCCTGCTGACTTTCTCCTCTGATAGCTCTTGATCTTTAAAATGAACTTGGCCAGGACAACCTTTCACACAGAGGGCTGTCCTCTATAACAGAAAATGCGGCCACCCTAATTCAGGACTTCCTGGTGACTGGGATCAAGAGAACAAGTTTGTAAGGTCTAGCCTGTGTCCTCTCTAAGTTTTGTCATTTAACTCCCAAATGGGCAGAAGGGATCAGGTCAGATCTCTAGGTGGTTTGCAGTTGGTCAGCAGGGGCTTTGAAGTCCCCATGGTTTAACAAGAGCAACAATGAAATGGTTCTCTCCATGCAAATTCATTCCAATGTGTAGGCTGCTGAAGTAAAAACCAAAAAGAACAAAACAAAACAAAAAATGCTTGGGAGGAACATCCGGCATAGATGTATGTGTGAAAAGACAGTGAGGTCAGTTTTGGATGTGAAATCAAATTCTTCGGCTGAATATATGTTCACAGGCACTCCTCTGAGCCACTCTTGCACCTGGTGTTCATTGGCAGACTTTGCTGTTTCCGCTCGTTTATCAGTCTGTTCTATTGTATTTTATTCTTTTAAATATTTGTATTCTGGTTTACATTTTAACTTGTATGAGGCATTTTAGATTCTTAACTGTTTGTAATCTGCCCAGAGCACATTACAAAAAAAATAGAAAAACAAAAACTGAACAAAATAAATAGATATGTAAGCCAGAAAACTTTCCACTTCTGACTTAGCTCCTCCTCTATATTATGATGGAAATAGACTTGATTCAACCAGTGTTCAATGTATTTAAATTCTACTGATTCCTAAGTGAGAGTTTCAGTCATGCGCTTTGTTTAACCCTACCTCAGGTATCAACAGAACTGGGATGTGAACCTTAAACATGTTTATTCAGAAGTAAATGGGAAAATAATAAATGCACTTAGCACTGGAGCCCTAGAAAGTTTAATGTTGCCTGGATTGTATTCATTATTTGTGACCCCAAAAAACACATAGCCCAAATCTATACAACCCTGAGGGCAGAATTAAGGGGCTTGCCAGGGCTGGTCACAAACTGGACTTTATATACTTAAGAAAAGTGAAAAGGGCAGGAATGAATAAAGATAATGCAGAATAAGTAATGACTACTATTTAAATAATAGTAATCAAATAATACCAACACAAGAGAAAGGAGCCGCATGATAAATGGGAGCAAACAGAAGATTCTGGTAGATGTAAGATTTCTTGAGAATCAGAGCTGCTGCTGCTCAGAGCCCCAAGTGTTAGAGTCATTCACACATTACACAATAGCAACCCTGGAATTACCACCAAGGGTTCATGTAACAAGGAGCCACAGTAAACCAAGGCTTTCTCACAGGTGCACCTATATAGCATTTGTGCTTTCAAATATGTGCTTGTTGCATTCATTTATTATATTTCAAAGGTACACTTAAAACAAGGGGCAGCACAATCCAATGCGGGTACCTGCACCCTCCAAACACAGCCGGTTATGGGCATCCTACTTGGGACAGATGCCTCTACACTTGCCTTGTACTGCAAAAAAAAAAAAAAAAAAAGCTTAGCTGAATGACTTTGGCCACCTATGTCTTTTGCCCCTGGAGATCAGGATGGGCTGAAGAGCTGCCTAGATGCCTTGTATCCTAGTGGGGTCTCACGCCTCTTCTCCCTAACCCCGCAACACCCCCTTTCCAACACCGGCCCTGAGATTGGTCTTTCAACCTCAAAGTCACAGCTGGGGCAGTACTTTCCATGCCAGCTGCAAGGGTGGAGGAAAGGTGCTCCAAATTTGGGGGACATTTCCGGTGTTGGGGTTCTGAACCTTCTAGTAGTTGTCAACACTATCTTGGAGCCATAGGATGCGCCCAAGTAGCTGTGGGGCAGGGTGGGTGGAATGTCTTCTTTTGTAATCTCAGAATTACATAACACTTCCTGTCAGAGGTGAAGCAAAATTCCTAGGTACAATTTTGGATTTTATCAATCACTGTCAGAACTGTGGCAGATCTGAAGGTAGCACCTAATTATGCAAATTAGCTGTGCATTTTTTGCTCCATCCCTGTAGAACCTGTTAGAAATAATGAATAGGTATAGGAATTGAATGGAAAATAGGGTGCATAGTAAGCAGGAACTTGCATCTAAGGAAGTCAACAGGAAAAGAAACAGAAAAAAAAGGATGTTGTTTTAGAGAGACTAGTTCAGGTGGTTAATATTTTACCAACCAAGCAAATGTTTAATATTGCTTGGAAATTGCTGTTTTGCTAATTGGCTGGAGAACAAAAGCACAATAAGTCATAATACTTAAAATTGGTTTAATAATCCGTTGCTGTCAGGAGCAGGGGAAAAGGAGGCAGATACTGAAGAGGAAGAATCAATATTTTTTAAGATAATGAAAATCTGGTTCAAAACAGACCACAGAGTTAATATATATATAAAAAGAGCCATGCTGAATTAGACCCTTCAGTTCACATGGTGGCCAACCATTGCTTGCAGGGAGTCTGCAAACAGGACAAGGGCAACAGGCCTTGTTTTCCCAGCAACTGATAAACAGCGGCATACTGCCTCTGGTACTAGAAGTAATATAGAGCCTTCCAATCACCTAGGCATTGATAGACTTAACTTCCATGAATGTGTGACTATTCCCCTTTCAAAGTCATCCAACTTGTTTGCTATCATGTGCTAGTGAATTCCATAGTTTACCTTTGTGCTGTGTGAAGGAGGGCTTCCTTAACCTGTCCTGATGCTCCCACCAACTAGCTTCCTGGGATGACCCCAGGTTCTAGTTCAGGAGAGTGGCAGTGATGGGAGTGGGGGACTTCTCCCTATCTCCAGTTTCCATACCATGCAAAATTTTGTACAGTCTGGTTATGTCTCTCCATGCTTGATTCACAGAAGATGGCAGCCTTCTCATTATGTGGGGCCAGACTGTTGATGCTGCATAAGTCAAATTGCATACCCATTTCTTCCCTGAGGGTATCATCACAGACAAATGCTGCCTGCACTGCCGGAATGCTGAAGTGCATGAAGGAATGAAGGGTGTGTCCAGGAAGCAGTTTTGGACAGGCTTAGATGTACTGTGTGCATTTGACTCACAAACAACACATACTGTTGTCCCACATCACTTGTGCTGCTCGCTTACCCAGCTGTCAGCCAACAACGTAAGGTGCAGTGATGTGACATGAGTTATAGTGGTCCAAACTGCTAAAACAGTGCCAGAATTAAGCTAAAGAAAAGGAAAAAGGTGGCTTAATCTTCTTGCTTGCACTGGTGCCAAGCTAAGGCCAACTGCTGTGAGGATATGCTATTAATCACAATTTAGATGGGATGGATGGAAATCATGCTGACATCTCCCTTCCTTGCCATCTTGCATATTGCAACAGTAGTCCAGTTCTATTACATTAGGTAAAAAATGTCTTTATTTCAGGGAAACTCTGTCCTATATGAGCACTTTGGATTGTGGGCCCATAATATATCCCTCAAATTGTTGAGCAATACCCTGGATGGTTCACTGCATGTAAACCGATTTCTCCTTGAACTCAGTTAATATTTAAAATGTATCCAGTTCTGTTTTCCTTGAGCAATGCAACACAGTTTGGGACAGAAAGTACTTTATTAGGGTGAGTGAAGTGGGCACATGTGGAAAGCAATGTTGAAGGGGAAAGGTCACCATGATTTGCAAAGCATATGCAGGACATACAGAGAGTCTCACACCTAACAAATCAAAAGGACCTAAGGCAGGAATGCCAGGAGATGCCTCTACCAGGTAGCTGTTGCCAGTCAGAGTAGACAAGGGGTTCCCAAACTGTTTGGGTCAGTGGGCACATTCAGAATGTTGTGAGTGTTGTGGGAACTCTCACAAAATGACTGTCATGATGGGGCACTATTGTTTGTTTGTTTTTTCAAAAAGAAGAGTGGGATATAAATCTCTGTAATAAATAAAATGTGCAGAAATAATTATGTGGGAATACAAGGGATAATATTACCTGGTGAAAAGGAGACCTGGGAACGAAGCTTTTATCTTTCTGCCTCTTCCATTGTTTGTTTCAGCTTTACTTGGCATCTCTGTACTACATCTATTTGGCTTTGGAGGAGGAATCTGAGCGGAATAAGGACAATTCAGTCTATGCCCCCGTTTATTTCCCAGCTGAGCTGAATCGCACGACTGCTTTGGAGGAAGACTTGGAGTATTTCTATGGCCCCACATGGAGGAAAGAGATCCAGTGCCATGAGGCAACTCAGAAGTATGTGGACAGGATTCACCATGTGGGCCAGTATGAACCTGAGCTTTTGGTGGCCCACGCTTACACCCGATACCTAGGAGATTTGTCTGGGGGGCAGATTCTGAAGAAGGTTGCCCAGAAGTCTCTCCATTTGCCCAGTACTGGAGAAGGACTATCTTTCTTCAATTTCCCTGGGGTCACCAACATCAGCAAGTTCAAGCAGCTTTATCGGGCCCGGATGAACAGTCTACCCATGGACTCTGCAACTGAGGAGAGAATCCTGCAAGAGGCCAAGACATCTTTTCTGCTGAACATAGAGGTGAGTAATTACTTGGCTATATCTTCCCACCATGCAGTCTACTTGAAAGTCAATATGATGTTTCTTTTGACAATCCTAGGAGATGACAAAGATTTATAATAGTTACCATGAACTTGGACACTCATTCTTGTATATTGAATCAGGGACATTGAAATAATACCTTGAAGTTCACTGGGGTGACTTTGGACCAGTTGCAGACTCCCAGCCTAACCTACTTCACAAGGTTGTTATAAGGATAAAATGGAGAGAAGGACCATGTAAGCTGCCTGGGGTCCTTACAATAGAAAAGTCAGGATACTAAACAAAAAAATAAACAAATGCAGGAGAGGAAATTCCTGGAAAGACAGCATGGCAGAAGTCAGTTGGCCATTTTTGAAAGGCTTAAGATGAAGTTCACCGAATGCAAATGGAGGAAACCATGTTGGTCAATTAGCAAGAAGCTCTAAACATATCTAATATCATACTGTTCTGTCTTAAGATGGAAATTCAGAAAACTCTTTGCATACACATTAGATTACTTCTTAAGACCAGATGACCACAGGTTGCATTAGGCATGAAGTATGTATAGCAAACAGATGCTGAGTGCAACTTCCATCAGACCTAACTAGTATAGCTGATGATGAGAGTTGCTGGGAATTGCAATCCAACAACATCTGGAAGGAGTTCTTCATCTCTAAGTTACTTTTGGGGGGTAAAAATGTGATGAACTCTCCTGTTGAAAATATAAAAGTCAGTCTGTTAAAACTGTTAAACTGATATTTGGACTTGGAATATCAGTTAAAACTGGTATTTCCTGTGATTTATTGACAGTCTGTCTACTTTTCTGTTTGTATTTAATTGAGCTTTGCTACCCTCTCAATCCTGATTTGTATCCAAAATCAACATTTGTTGGTGAACAAGCTTAAATACATATGTAACCAACATTTGTATAGTGGCCTATTTATTTTGAAGAAAGTTTAAATTGTATTGTTAAGAATAAAAGTGGGTGTAGCAGCTTGAACTGAAACCCTCTATGGACATGCACAAGGAAAAATATCCACACTCTTTGCTTACACACTAACAGATGTGCTTTGTTTCACACTTTTTGTCTTTACACTAGCAGATGCACAGTGCTTCCCTACTGGGTGTTGCATATTAATAACAGAAAGCAGATGTTCATGTGTCAAGATGAAGAGAATAGGAAGCTTGGCAGATGAAAGGACTTTCTAACTTGGTTTCTTAAGAAATAGTCCATACAAAATCCTAATGAAAATGCTCCTTAATGAGAAACTTCTCTGTGATCCATCTTCTTAGGTGTTCAAGGAGCTGCAGAGGTTGGTGAGTCAAGGACGACTCTTGGAGAATGGCCACCTTGACCAACACGAGCCAGAGCTTCACGCAAGAGCAGTCAACAGAACACACAGTAAGAACTTTTCATCAGAGCCACTCCTGCCGTTGTTTTCACTTTTCCCTTGGTTCATTAAATAATGGAAAGAGGGGCAAACCCTTAATTTCCCCTGAGCTTTTGTGATTTATGCTTTCGTTGACCAACACTCTGGGTATGCTGAGTAGGTTGCATCTGTGTGGCACATATAAGCTACCTTGAAACCAACTGTTTCAAGCATTTCTCCTAGTCAACCCCATCATATCCCATTTACGAAGTAGCCAAAGAACTGTCATTTAGTAAGGGTACACACAATTCCCTGGCTGACATCCCATCTCCCTCTCCCTCTCAAAACTATAATACTGATGGCTCTTTGGGTAAGAGACATGACAGATAAACAGAAACTTGTGTGTAGTATACAGCAGTTCCTTTTACCACACAGTTGCAACTGATACATGGAAAACTCTACCCATCACTTGTTAGATGATAAAAATGGCCCAGATCAAGAGCTCACTAAGGTGTAATTTGGTCTGTTGGGTTGCACCCAATGTTTATTTAACATAAGCCCATTCATTTCAAAGGATCAGCTCCAAGTAGGATTAACATTGGATATTATGTGAGCTCACAGAGGCATTAAAAGACAGGAACATTGTAGAGCAAGAGAGGGAAATTAGTGGCCCTCCAGATGGATTAGCCTACTGCACCCATCCTCCCTCACCATTGGATATGCTGGCTAGGACTGATGGGAATTGTCCAAAATATCTGGAGGACAGCAAGTTGTGGGAGGCAAGTTGTCCCTAGTGTGACAGATACAGGAACTGTTTGTAAAGACCTACGCATCTGTCCATGCTCACAATATGAGGCATTGCACACAGGTGTGTATTGTGTATGGAGGGTGGGAAGATTATGAAAGGGAGTAGAAAGGGGTGCCACTTTAAGCAAAGGATTTGCAGAGCTTCCTGTTCAGCTTGTTAGCACAATCCTATACATGTTTAAATGGATTTAAGCTCTGCAGAGTTCAGTGAGATTTATGGTCCTATGTGTGAGTGCATAATATTGTGGCTTTGTAGATCTGAATGAAGCTAAATCTGGGTGGTGAACCTTTTATGGAATCTATTGCTTTCTAGTAACCTCCCAATTTTAAGCCTTTGACCACCAAAAAGTTTTTCATGGCACAGCCTCAAGCATGCAGTTAGGCTGTAAAATTATCTTCCTATATCAGTTGACAACGTCAGCGTCATTAAACTTGGCCAGCTGCTCTGGTCAGAGTGTACTCCTGGCATCCAGGGATGTTATTGCTGTGACTGGAACATCAGTTAATGTTCTATATACAAAATCTCTCCCCCCTCCCCCCGCCCCCAGTTTCCAGCCTGATGAGTTTCTTTTTTCTGCATACAGGTCCAAAGAAAACTGACCGGGCACAGATGAAGCATAACAACATGCTGCCCAGCACACCACTCCTGCGTTGGACTCTTGCCCTTTTATTCTTAGCAACCACAATTGCTGTGGGCTTGTACACCATGTGACCAGAAGGGACCTTAAGCTTCTTTTGCCAGCACCTGCCTATTCCTAAACTAGCAGGTCTTTCCCTAATGAAGGAAGACCTGCACAGACTCTGCGACCTGATCTGATCTTCATGTTCTGACATTACTAACAACATAAACAAAATGAATGGTTGAAAAATTAACATTTGCACAAAGATCCACAAAAAGGAAAAAGCCACAAAAAGAAAAGACTGATAACTTGCCACCTGGGATGCCTGAAGAATAAATGTTGCTGCTGGTGCTTTGTACAGTGTTTATATTGTCCAGCTGTCTAATGTTAATGTTGCTTGCTTCTCCATATACTGTAACTGTTACATTTCTTAAACAATGATTTTATGTAAGATGTTTCTATTTTTGAAATATTTTTGTCCCTCTGCAACAAACTTTAGAAAACAATGAAAGAGATCCTCTTGTATTTTCAATTTGCTTTTATAAATTATATGCACGACTATTAACATTGCCTGTGTGTTGACTGAATCATGTGACTTCTGATTTTTGTGCTTTATCAGATTGGGGTTGAGAGTGTTTTTCTTTTCCTGCCAATTATATTAACTGTTGTTAGTTGGAAGATGGCTGAGAGCTCCCAGAACTAACTTCTAAATTTCCAGCCAAGACAAATTAAAGAATTTGTCAGTGTTGCAATTTCAATATTTAAGCTGCAACAACCCAGATTCAGGCTAGATATCGGAAAAACTTCCTCACTGTCCTCAATACAAAAGTGAACCCAACTGCCTAGAGAGGTAGTGGGCTCTCCCACACTAGAGAAATACAAAAAGAAACTGCGTGGGGTGAGGTAAATTGGTATCCTGCAGTAGCAGGGGGTTGGACCCGATGGCTTTCATGGCCCCTTTCAACTCTAGTATTCTATTATTCAATATTTGGGGGGTGGGGAGGCAGTAGCTGCTCATCCCTGCAAAATTCTTAGAAATCCAGGACTGATAATGGTCCTATATAGGAACAGTGTGTTGAGTATGTTGCTTTACAACACTTGTGATCTTAAAAGAAATTTGTTTGGCAGTCAAAAAATAGCATTTACATCTTCCAAGTCCACGAATTCATGACTATTGAGAATGTACCCATGTTCTATTATTTGCTAACTTGGCAACATTTATTTATCATAGTTCAGGCAAGACCAAGGAAAACATGTTGTTGTTGTTGTTGTTGCTATTATTAGAACATTTCTATGCCGCCCCTTGCCGAAGCCTCGGGGCAGCTTACAAACACAATAAAATACAATAAAATACAAAAATAACAATATAAAATTAAAATTAACAATATAAAATAAATAAAAATATAAAATATAAAAGAAGTCGCCCTGGCCAGATAAATAAGCAAATATTGTTAACAATTAAAGTGACGTTTAAATAAAAAGGTCTTCACCTGGCGCCGAAAAACAAGTAACGACGGTGCCAGGCGGTTGTGTTCTAAAATCAAAAAGCTGAAGTTACTGAAATTCTCTACAATGTCAGTGATTACACAGATAAGACAAGAGGTACATCAAACAAGAGCACCTGGCTAACTGTATAAACACATTGATAACTGATTTTGCTGTTCTGTGCCATCAAGTTGTGCCTGAGTCATGGTGACCCTATGAAAGGGTACCCTCCAAAATGTCCTGTCCTTGACAACCCTGCTCAGCTCATGTAAACGCTAGGCTGTGGTTTCCCTTATGTTTTCGATCAATCTCATATTTGGTCTTCCCCTGCTTCTGCCTTCAACTTTCCCTGGCATTGTCTTCTCTAGTGAATTTTGCCTTCTCAACAGCCTCAGTTTTGTCATATTTGCTTCCAGGGGAAGGCAGAAGAGGATACTGATTTGCATAAAACTTGCACATCCAAATATATATAATTTACAGATCCAAATTTAGAAAGAATTGTTATAACTGAAATAGGAATACGATACATGCCAACATTGTGGGGAAGGGAGTGAGGAGGTGACTTGTACACCCACCCAGTATTACCTGGCAACTTTTAGACCCTTGCTTTCTCCCTCCTGGTTATCTTTAAACTGAACTTGGACTAGGCAGCTCTCAAAAAATAAAATTCCTTCAAATAGAGGACTGTCCTCTGTGATGTAGAATATATGCCCACACTACAATAATTACAAATGGCTCTATAATCCAAGCTTCATAGCTCTTTCACACACAAGAATGCAAGTTAGGTAAAATGGAAAGAGCCCCATCTATGGACAATACCATAACATTACATGGATGATGATGTAATACTTGGCATCTGCAAAGCACTTCTTGGTGTTCAAAGTGCTTCCATACATTATTTTACTATAACCTTTACCACAACTCTTCTGGGCAGGCCAGTAGTTGTCTGTCCCAAAACTGTACATTCTCACTGATTGTATACTTCTCCAAGTTCCCAGACAGATGACTTTTCTGCCTCTTTTTACAAAACGTTAAGATGCCAAAGACTGAACTTGGGTCCTTTTGCATACAAAACATCTGCTTTATCAATGAGATAGTGGTTGCACTCAATCAGGCACAAACAAAAACCAAATAAAAATAGTTCTCCCTTGCAACTCCTCTAGCATTAGAGAGACTATCAGCATTTGGAAGAACTGTGATTACACACAACAGAGAAAAGGTGTGGTTTTTCCTTTCAGGATCTCCTCCATACCAGATGCTGCTCCATGTAGAATTTGACTTTACTACATGTGGCTTCTTTATTGTCATGGAATGGGAGACTGGTATCCCTTTCCCACATCCTAGTATAACCTTGCCCAAGCTGGTGCCTTCCAGATACCTTGGACTGCAAGTCCCATGGCTTCAAGGGCATGTAATTAGTTACTGGGGACTGCTGGTAGTTAAGACAGGGATTAACAGGGTCTTTTAAACATAAAATTTAGTTTTTCTGTTTTAATTTGGTTTTAAATTTTGTATTGCTAACTTTTAGGATGTTTTAACTGGTACATTTTATATTGTTTTTAAATATGCTGCTGTGAACTGCCCAAAGGGCTTCAGCTGTTGGGCAGTACAGAAATTAATTAAATTAAACATTTAAATAACGAAATAGTGTATTTCTCTGTTTGCTCATTCAGTCTGCAGATGTCCAGGTCCTATATATTGATGAGCAACTTCAAAGCCCCTGCTGCTTTCTCTTGTTTCCTGAACTTGAAACCAGGCTTGGACCAGGAAGCACTTCACAGGGACAACCATCCTCCTTAAGTAGGGCAGAGGTGGCGGATCACTCCTATTTGGTTCAGCAATGCCTGGGTAGGTCTGTGTATGTGGGATGGAGGCTCCCCACTTTTCCTACACCAGATGCTATTTATTTATTTATTTATTTATTTATTTATTTATTTATTTATTTATTAAAACAGTTTTATGCCGCCCCATTCGCCGAAGCCTCGGGGCGGCTTACAGCATAGATAAAACAATCAGTTAAAATATCCATATAAAATAATCTTAATTAAAACCCACATTATAAAATAAGCCACCCTGGCCAGATAAAATTCAATTGTATTTAGCATTTAAAATGTTGCTTAAATAAAAAGGTCTTAGCCTGGCGCCGAAAAATAAATAACGACGGCGCCAGGCGGACCTCTCTGGGGAGCGCATTCCATAACTTAGGCGCCACCGCTGAGAAAGCCCTTCTCCGAGTAGCCACCCTCCTAATTTCTCTCCCGGAGGGCTCCCGGAGAAGGGCCTCTCCCGCCGATCTCAGGGGGCGACTGGGCAAATATGTAGTGATGCAAAAGGATACACCTCTGAAATGCCTGTCCTTTACAGCTTTACCGCATGGAGAGGAAAATGCAAATTCTGCTGCACAGTCCCACCATATTAGAAATATTCCATGCTGGATTTATCAATTCCAATTAATAAATATGAAGTGTCTGTGCTTTTTTATATACTCTTTTTCAATCCTGTTTATGGTTCTGTTGAAATTTACAATACCACCTAAACAAACAACATTGTACTGGGAAAGCGCCCTCTATTTTCCCTGCTAGCTCATCCCGCTGCTCTTTCAACTGATAGGGGAAAATGCTAGCGAACTACAAGGCACAGGACGAAAACAGAAATCACAGAAACTGAGGTCAGGTCAACTGCTCCCGCTTCCAGCCACCATCTTAGTTTGTTCTTTCCTTTTCGTCTTTTCCGTCCTGTGCAAGAATTTTTGGCGCCAAAACGCCCCTCTACGTCCGCCTTTATTTCAATGGCTTTTTTCAAACGTCAGGGAAGAGGTGGGCTCTCATTTCTATCTTCTCCAATCGACTTCGTCGCCTGAGGTCGTCCTCGCGCGCGCCTTAGGTGTGGCCCAATCAGTGAATGCTAAAGTTTCTTTGGTCCAATGGGAGTGAGCGATGCGTGACAGAAGGCGGGCGGAGGAGTTTTTTTGCTACCTTTTGCCGCGAAAATTCCTCGCGTCCCGCTGGCTTGAGGGGCGGAAGTCTGTTTCCGGGAGTTCCAACCTGAGCTTGAGCGGGCAGGTGAGCGGCGCTGGGGGGTTTTGCCGGGGGCGGTTCGCCACTCCTGTTGTTTGGCTTTGCTGGAGTAAGTGGGGCTCTGATAGCTTCTTTTCTGCGTGTCTGTGGCGAGGGGATGACCGTCGCTCCTTAGCGGGAGGCCCTTTTGTTAATGGCATAGATTCGTCCTGGTAACCTCTCTTTCTGGCTTGGGAGCCTTTTCTTATTATCCTAAGAACAGCCTTCTTCCAGATATTTTGGGGTTTCAAGTCCCATCTGCCCCAACCAGCAGATTCCATGGTCAGGGATGCTGGAAATTGCAGCCTATAATATCTGGAGAGGATCAGGTTGGGAAAGGTAGTCCTAGAACCTTCCCTAGATGGTGCCGTCCAGATATATTGGGCTATAACTTTCAACATTCCTAGTTAGCTGGGCCAGGGATCATGGGAATTGTATGGAAGGTGCCAAGTGGGAAAAGCTGCTCATAAAAAAAACTTATAAAAATCTGGTGTTAGATAGGTTTTCACACATTTATTGTGTGAAAAAGCCATCACTGTAAGGAAAGGAGAAAGGTACCAAAAAGGAGGAGAAGCAGTTGGTTTTTGCTGGCGTTGGATGGTAATTAGTGATAAGAGGGCTAGCTTTTGCATTTGTTTAGATGCACGGCTCATCTTGGACTTGAAGCCATTTTGGGCCTTGGTTCAATTTAGGTCCTAGGTAATAGCCATAGTGTAATTTGTGGTTTGTTTATCGTTTGTATGTTTGTTTTTGTCTTTTTTTCTGCTGCTTTCTTTTTTTGCACAGTGAGTCATCATGTCTGGTTTTGATGACCCTGGGATCTTCTACAGTGACAGCTTTGGTGGAGACCCATTGGTAGATGAGGGACAGGTCAGAAAGTCCCAACTGCAGAAACGTTTCAAAGAGTTCTTAAGACAATATCGGGTTGGAACAGACCGGACAGGCTTCACCTTCAAATACAGGTGATCTTTGACTCCAGTATAAAGTTGAATTTCTTGGTTTACTTTATAACTGTTTGACTTTAAACATACTACCTGTTTAGATTAATATAGTTCTGTTGGATAGCTTGGGATAAAGTTCAAGCAAAGGTGTACCCACACATCTTCACTTGCTGTCTTTTTCTTATTGCATCCCAGAGATGAACTCAAACGCCATTACAATTTGGGGGAATACTGGATTGAAGTGGAGATGGAGGACCTGGCAAGCTTTGATGAAGACCTAGCAGATTATCTGTACAAGCAGCCTGCTGAGCACCTCCAGCTGGTATGTGCAGGGTGGGAAGAGAAAGGCTGAGAAAAAGATGTGGGATGCTGTTGGATGAACTTGGATTTTCATGCTGGAACTGGGCTTGCAACAGAATGTTGCCTTTCAGTAATGCTTCATTCCATAGCTTCTCCAACCACTCTGGGGGCGTTTTGGTATTCTCTTCCAACTGACTCTTAACTTTCTATGGCTCTCAAGTCTTCTTGAAGTTGTTTTTCTCTAATGGGTTTTAAAAATCATTTAATACTTATACATACTTCAGGGTTCACATGAAGATGTTGATACATTCTGCAGTGGATCTGTTTCCACCTGAGTTTGAGGGGATGCTGATCAGTGATTTTTGATATCCTCAGCAGTGTTATTCCTTTTCCAGCTAGAGGAAGCAGCAAAGGAGGTGGCTGATGAAGTAACACGACCTCGTCCCATGGGAGATGAGGATCTTCAAGATATTCAGGTTATGCTGAAATCAGATGCCAATCCATCTAACATCCGCAACCTCAAGGTGAGCTGAATCCACTATGGGAGAAGGAAGAGAAGAAGCTATTTTCACAGCATTTAAAAGTGGAGTAAAATTGTTAAAAAGTACAAAGCTTGCATGATGCCTGGCAATGAGTCAATAAAGACAGGAGACATAGCATAGTTCTATAAAACCAATGTGGGCTTCCCTCTGTATCCATAAGGCTTATTTTCATTGTGAAGTATGACATGACATTTATTGTTTGCTTTGTTTGGCCTGAAAAGTTTGATTTACCTTCCTTGTTTGGATAGGGGGAAAATAAAAACACGAATTGTTTAGTAACTATACACATAGAAAGTTACCCCAAGGAATCGTCATGTCCATGGCCAAATATTCTAGAATGCTGAGCTTAATGAACAAGAAGGCAACAATGTAAAAGCAGAATTTTGATGCTGGAGCAAATTATGTAAACCAGGGACATCTGTGATTTTTTACTTTGCTTTCCTTTTTTATGTTCTTTCCGCATCCCTGTTTCTAGAAATTTGGACACTGCTTTTAACAATATTAGTTATGTAATGGAGAAGTGAAGTTAGGATTTGTGAAGCTGTTGCATGTGGCATTAAGATGCTCTATGCATAGATGTGTCAGGAATGCCTTTGTGGTTTCATTACAGCTGTGGTTTCCTCCTGATTCTTTTGCAGTCTGAGCAGATGTCTCATCTTGTGAAGATCCCTGGAATTATCATTGCTGCAACTGCAGTGAGAGCCAAAGCAACCAGAATCACTATCCAGTGCCGCAGCTGCAGGAATGTTATTCCCAATATTGTCTTACGTCCTGGCTTGGAAGGATATGCTCTCCCTCGGAAGTGCAGCACGTAAGACTCGAAAGTTCCTTTTTCAGCTGCACTAGCTATGTTACTCATTCAACCCATTCTCTGTATGAATGATGTTCTCTCTGGCTGCAGTCCTGTGCCAACTTAACTAAGAGTAAGCCCCACTGAATGCAATGAAACTTATGGACAGGCAGAGGAATTTTTTGGTTTGCATCACAGTTCTTTGCATCATTACTGAGAAACAAAACCTAAGTGCACATGAAGTTTATTCTCTACTAAACAGGCATACAATTGTTGTCTTTTAAAGATATAGCTAACATTTCATCTAACAGTCTATAAATCTTTAGATCCATAATCCCTCCAAACAATCAAAGAAAAATGGGCAATTTAAGCCATCATTAAAGTCAGTGCAGATCACTTAAAATCATTGTGACTAGAATTCTGTCAGATTTCTGAATAGATCTTAGTCTCTTCCAACCATCCTTCTCTGGGTGCAAGTAACCTATTCACCAGAGCATATGCCAGCATCAGTCACTAGCATACTAGCGACACAGAAAGGCCCTTTTCATTTAAGTGATGAACAAGACTTCAGTGCAGCTTTTTCTGGAATAAGCACCAGAGGATTGTTTTCAGAGTGATTTATTTATGTGCAGTGAATTTCAGAACAAAATTCTTTCTGTGGGATAATTTTTCTCATTAGCAGCCCGCAGAGGTGATCTTTGTGGTGTTCTGTCTCACTAAGAGAACCATGAATCAATAAAGAAGGGAGCCATAAGGGTTTGTCTTTGCTGCTTACTGAGGAAAAGAATTTCTCCTAAGGAACGAATTCTGTATTGGCAGAAAATCATTCAGATACATTGAACTGGGCATAAATTCATGCTGACGGGTGAAAGCTGGCAGTTATGTTACTCTGTCTAACCATGCATAGGACTGTACCCTTAACACACAATTCCTATGCCTCTAGGTTCTGATGACTCATCTCCAACACAGCACAGGTCAAACCTGGGATCATTCTTGTGAGGGTGTGTGGTTCCTGATGGACTTACAAACTCCACATGAGCTTGAGATGATGGGCTTTGTCACGTTTGCCCTTTGGTCACATTTTCTCAATCTGCAAACCAGATACTTACATGTCTAAGATATAGGTTAGCTTTCCCCAACTTGATGCCCTCTTGGCGTGTTGGTCTGCACCTCCCAGCATTTGGCCAGCCATGCTAGCTGAGGCATGCTGGGAATTGTAGTCCAGCAAATCTGAAGGGCATCAGGTTGGGGAAAGCTAAATTGTTATGAGGATGAACTAGACAAGAAAGGCAAGGTATTCTGTTGCCCCTTTTTAATGTACGGTTGGCTCCTATCTTACCTGTAGTCACCCTCTTCCCCCCCTTTCTTTCTTTCAGGGAGCAGAATGTCCTAGCAAAGTGCCCTTTGGACCCATACTTCATTGTCCCAGACAAGTGCAAATGTGTGGATTTCCAGACCCTAAAGCTCCAGGAGTCGCCAGATGCTGTCCCTCATGGGGAGATGCCCCGGCATATGCAGTTGTACTGTGACAGGTGATTTCTCTCTGACCATCCTTTTCATCACCTGATTTTGGCAAGGGAACTTGATTAAGGAGAAGAGGTCTGCAGCTCAGCGCTGAATCTTGTTCTTCATCCCAAGTTCCATCCCTGGCCATCTTCAGCCATAAGGATTGGGTAGCGGAGGATGGGAAAGAGCTCAGAGTGTGAATTCTGAGAGAGGCACAGCTCTTTCCAGACCGGTACCCTTCATAGCCAGTGGCTGTGGTGGCTGGAAAGCATAGGCGTTGCAGTCCAGCACATATCAGGTTGGAGAAAGCTGACCTGGTTGGATGAGAGGGCAAAGACTGTTCTGCATTATTTATGCTGATAGTATTGAACATAATTGGAAGGAAACTAAGCACCATCTTCTAGTCCAGTTCTCCACTAGGGTTGTGGGTTCTCCACTGGCCAGCAGCACAATGGAAGTGTATATGTCTTGAACTTTCTTGTTGTAATACTAACAGTTGGACAATTGTTCCTATTGCGTTTGCTGTTTTCAGCATTTTTGATACATGAGAAGGAGGGTGGGGTAAAAATAAATGAAAATACCATTTCTAATTTGCTTCTCCTGTCCTGATCCCCTTTGAGAGCTCCCAAATCACAAAGTTATCCCTTTGTATTTTAGGAGTCTTAAAGAGTCTGCTATTTTATTTTGCTTTTTTGCTCCTGCTGCTTTCCACTTAACGTATGCTCACAACTTGTTTGTAGATATTTATGTGACAAGGTGGTTCCTGGGAACAGAGTAACTATCATGGGTATCTACTCCATCAAGAAGACTGGACTTACTAAGAAGAAAGGCAGGGACAATGTTGGAGTGGGCATCCGAAGCTCTTACATTCGTGTGGTGGGAATCCAGGTAGACACTGAAGGCTCAGGTAAGGCGATTCTTGAAAGGCTCTGTGCCTTATTGGTTGTTTTGAATAATCTGGTACCTTTGTGCATTCTTGTTAACTTTGACTACCTGCCCTGCCAGGTGGGTGGCACGCATCCTGTGGGCCACATGTGGTCCTCCAAGGCATATTTTGTGGCTCCCACTGCTACCAAAAATCAGCAATACAATGAGGCTAAAAATGCTATTTACATTTTTTGGACACACTATTAAACTAGAACTGCAAACTACTCTTTTTGCTGCACCACTGATTTTCTGTTGGTTCTGGAGATTTGAAGAGTGGAGTTTTGGTACTGTAGCTGAAAGGCAACTTGTCTCAAGCTGACCTAGTCCACCACTTAACACGCTTGTCCACTATGGTAGCTTATTAATGGGGCATATAATAATTAAAGATAGCCCCTGGACTTCTGACTATTTAACATGATTAACTTGATAGGGTAAATAGAAGCAATCATGCTATCTGACATCATTGTCAGTTGTACTAAAAATAGCATTTGGATTCTTCACTTGGGGATAGGAGTTCCCTTGCTTGAACGTGTATAATGCAGGCTAACATGACATCACAGCCACTGGTAGCAGTGCTTAAAACAGTGTCCTGTTACAGTTCTGAAAATTCAGAATTTCTGTATCTCTGTTTTTCTTTAGGGCTCAGTGTCAGTGGTTCAGTGACTCCTCAGGAAGAAGAGGAGTTCCGACGTCTTGCTTCCATGCCAAATATTTATGAGACAATTGCCAAAAGTATTGCTCCCTCCATCTATGGCAGTAGTGATATCAAGAAGGCTATTGCATGCATGCTCTTTGGAGGCTCCCGAAAGAGGTATCAATGCTTGGTGTAAACAAAGTGCTGGAGTTGGGAAGGAACCTCTTACCTGCTCTTGTCTTCCATCTTTACAGATCTGTCATACTATAACTTCCCTTTGTCTTCAAAGTGAGCCGTGACCACTTCTGTTACGTAGGGTATGACTGTTTACACAGAAAAATAAAAGTCGTGTTCGTCATGTTCCTTCTTTATTGAGCTAGAGTAGAAAGCAAAGGGGTGTTTGTTTGTTTTTAGTGCTTGTAAAATCCATGGGACTTAAATTAGACCATCTGTTCTATGGTGCTAACATTGGCTAAAACCCCAGAAGTCTTGGGAAAAAATCCTGAATAAGACAGAAAGACTCCCCGTCTCTCCGTGCCCCGAAGAACAGCCCAGTGAGGACTAATTATTCACACTAGCAACTGAATATTGAATGCCAGTTAGCAAGTGTATAATGTAGTTACTTAAAGCATGTTTAATCTTACCTCTCAGCCAAAAGGTCTCCCAGAACAGCTGACATGCAGTCGGCAAAAAAGCTGACCCTTGTCTGAAGCCTTACAATCTCAAAAGTCATGGCACAAAAAGGGATGGAGAGGGGAAAACAGTCACGTAGTCTTCCATTTCCCTTCTTATTCCTGCATTATTCTTTCAAAACGCAAATAGTAGACCAATCTGGGCTAGGACACTTCTTGCTTGTAGTATCCTAGAGGAGGGCATGGCTGGTTGAAACTCTGGACAGGAGCGCTGTTAGGGGATAAGGAGTATATACTGCAACATTTTGTTTCAGGTCCCACTTCTGTGAAGTAACTTGCCCAAAGTTCTTTGAGCAGATGAGATCTTGATGAAGAATGTAGAACTCGAGTCTCTAAAGCTCAAGCCTACTTCCTAAAGCTCTTAATGATCATGTTCTGGGGCATGCGGGGAGGTGCTTTCTTAACAGGTAATTCATCTTTGCTCATATTTATCTGCAGACTTCCTGATGGGTTAACCCGTAGAGGGGATATTAATCTGCTCATGATGGGAGATCCTGGCACAGCCAAGTCCCAACTCCTAAAGTTTGTAGAAAGATGTTCTCCCATTGGGGTAAGTATCCCAGGAATTAGTTGCATTCCACCATTCTGAGGCTTTTAAAACCAATCAATATTTCTTTATTGCTGGGCAAGAAATGTCCTTACAATATATCATAAATATACATATGAATCTATCAATATATCAAAAACTCAATTTTCACAATTTCCAATTTGAATTCTAGTTGGATTTCCTATGAATAACACTGATTTCTCATATTACACCGTCTAATAATGATTACAGTTTGCTGTACAGTACAAAACTAGCCATGAGCTAGTTTTGTACTGTTCAGTTTACTATAAGCAGGAGAGAAAACAGAATGGCATGGGAGGGAGAGGTAAGCAACAGGCTAGCTTTCCTGGGAAGGTTTACTTCAGCCTTGCTATTAAAAATGCTCCAAACCATGTGTACGTTTGAGTCTGTGTTTATTTTGTGTGTGTGTGTTTGCAGCTTGAAAGAAGAAAAAAAGCAAGTTTCCTTGCCTGGTTTTCTGGAAGCAATTCTTATTCAAACTTTTGCCTAATTGTCTGTGCTATTTACAAGCTGTTGTATGTGAGCTGACTCCTGTTTTTAACACATGGAGTTGCTAAAATAATCTTTATGCCACAGTAGTAATTGTAGTCACGTCCTTCAGGTAACTTTGCACAATGTGATTGGCATGAATCACATTTGTCAATAGGATGCTTTTAGGTTGAATCAAGCTGAACAGTGAGCTTAAGCAAGCAAGCTGTTTGTTCTCTGGTATAATGACTTTCGCAGTTGTCATAATAGTTAGAATTACATTTAAAATAGTAGCTGCATTTGCGTGACGTGCAAAGCTACCGTGTGAATAAGCTTCATGGTGTGGCTCGTTAGCAGAGCAACTCGCAGGTCTCTTGATAGACATTTGGACTCACTGTGGCTTTTTGTCCCCATCCTTCTCCCCCAGTCCTCTAGCTGGTAAGCCAGTGTTCTTAGCTTCCTCCTCCTCCCTGCTTAGATTGCTGCTTTTGCTGTTGTTTCTGAGCCTCAGACAAGCACAGCTGGGGATACTTTTTCAGCTTCTGAAATTTAAGCAACTGTGTTCATGTTTTTTAAAATTACTTTTGTTGGTCTTTTACAAGTGCAGTCTTGCTGTTCTCTGATATGAGAAGTCTTGCCTGGTCGATTTCCTTGTCTGTCTCAGCTGTCAAAGGGAGCAGCAAAGAGGACTCGGTAACCTACCTGAAAACTGACAAGGCAAGACTACGTATGGGCGAATCGGCACAGTTGCCATGGACCAGTTGCCTTGCTGAAAAGCTTCAATACTGGGAGAAAAGCAGCAAAAGAAGTTGGAGCAGGGCACAATATCTCTCCCTGGGCAATGCAGTGCTCTTGTTTTTGAGTGTTGAACTGACACTCCAAAGTGTCATCCATCATTTCAACCCTTGTCTGAGTGTCTACCTGCTTCAGAAAGAGGAGTTACTAATTTCCCCTGCCTTTCGTGGCTGCTTTTTAGAGCACTTACTGCTGCAATAACTGCAGTTCCCTGTCAGTCTGAAAAGAATGCAGAAATATATGCAAAGTCAATGACTGGGAAGTAAATAGAGGAGAAATGTGTGACTCTGTCAGGGAACTGCCATAACCAGAGGAGTAAGTACACAAATTGGCCTGTCTGAAAAGCTGCTGTCCACAAAGTAGCCCGTCTGTGGTCTTGCCTTGCCAGTCCGTTACTCCATTCCACTCTGATAGCTAAACAAACAAGGAAATGGAAATTGACCAGCTAACACCATGCATGTCTCACAGCTTGACAGAGTGGCAAGCCAGGGATGGTGGCGTCAAAGTGCTGCTTGGGCATTGGTGGAGGGGCTCTCACGGGCAGCGACAAGGGAGAGATCAGGAAGAGTGGCCAGGCGCTTTTGCTGCCCTTGCTGGGCGGCTCACTAGCCAGTTCCTACAACTCATGATGAAATTACCCTCACTAATTAAGGCAATGTGACAACCTTTCATGAGTTAAACAACCCCTATAATAAGCTGCAGGATTTCAGGGTGACTTGCCAAAAAATACATCACCCTGCAGGAGGGAGTTCAGATGACGCAGCAACCCACTCTGGCTTGTTACCAACTGTGGATTATCATTTTGTGTGAATCCAGACATTCACCCTGAATTCACACAACCCAGTAAGGCACATTCAAGGGTTGAGTGTGGGTTGTCATTGAAACCTGGCTTGTTGTTGAAACGTGAGTTGTTGGATTGAACCACAATAACAAACTGATTTGTTCAGCATGAATAACCCATAGAAAGAATCATGGTTTGTGAACTATGGCTTGCTTGTGGTTAATAACCAATAATTTGTTGTTGCTGCTGGGTTCAGATTACACATTTCAATAACAACCAATGGTTCAGTCCCTGAGTATGGGTTGTTATGTTGTGTGAACCTAGCTACAGTCTTACCCCTGAATTTAAGGATTCCTTGACTGATTGGGTAAACACACTACTCACCACTTATAATTCAGTTTTGCTACACCATTACATTTTGTTTTGAGTTCAGTGTCTTATGTCAATATTTGAAGCTGGCCTTCTAGAGTGGACACCTTATAAGTGGTACACCCTGACCACTCTTGGTCACCTACACTTGAGGTGGAGTCTCACAAGTTATGGAACACTCAACAGACGTCTCTGTTGCAGTTATCCTCTCTGGGAAAGCCTGTTAAAAGCTGAGATGAACCATCTACTGAGCTTGTGGAAGAATTCATAGGACTTAATTTTTAACTTCATTGTAGCATCCATAATTTGTCCTCCTCTGCTCAGTGGCAGGGATTTAAATTAATGGACCTGTCGTCCTGTCATCCTCTCATCTCCTTTCTGGCCTCTGGACATGATCTAAGGTGATCTGCTCTTGAACTGAGCTGGATCCAGCTCTGCACTGCTCTTTTCCCAATTCTTCTCCATTCCGGTGCTTTTTCTCTTGTTCTGTGTAGGCAGATTTGCTCAGAATTAAGCTTCTATTCTATAGCTGCCAGTCAGGCTTGTTTTGACAGCTGTGTTATACAGTGTTTCCCTTAATTTGCTACAGAATATGACATGCAGCATGTGACAAGATAACAGGTTCTCCCTCCCTTTTCCTCTCAGGTGTACACCTCTGGGAAAGGCAGTAGTGCAGCTGGCCTGACAGCCTCGGTGATCCGAGATCCATCCTCACGAAGCTTCTTCATGGAAGGAGGGGCTATGGTGCTGGCTGACGGGGGAGTGGTTTGCATCGATGAATTTGACAAGGTGCAGAAAGGACGGCCCAGCAGAAGCCTGTGTTGTAATGTTGCTAAGAGATGGTGATTGATCGTGGGGATCTGCCAGGCCGGAGACCCTAATACCTCCACCTAGGCTTTGCAGAGGGCATGCAAAAGGGGAAGGATCTGGACCATGTATTAACATAAACATCCAGTAACAGCTGAAAGTTGCTGTCAGCAGGAAATAGGCAGATGTCTACTTCAGAAACTAACTGGTCAACGAAACTTTATTAAGCATGAGGAGAAATAGTTGAAGTCCCGGGCTAAATGTTTTTCAGAATCTTAGTCAACCTCTGGAGGCAAACCGCTAACTTTTTAAGGTCAGAATCATAACTGTTCATGTAACACAAGCTTTAACAGGACACATTCTGAATTACATATCTGAATATTCTTTGACAAATGTTTATTTCAGAAATTCAGTGATTTCTGCACTTGTCCAATAGAGGAGTCACAAAGAAGATACACAGTACTTTGCATCAGATTGGGCATTAGCTGAGGGCAGAGTGTGCAGCTGCAGAGAGAGATGTAGCTATGCATGTTGAGAGAGCCCCAGTCTGCAGTTTGTAATAACCTTGCTGTTGTTACTTTAGGATGTCTCTAAAATGAAAGGCTGTTTCAGTCTATTGCAGCATGAACTTTCTTAGGCAATTACTGCCTTCCATCAGGTTCATGAATTAGGCATGGATGATAATTGGTATCTCAGTGCAGGAGTTGGAAGCCAGATTATCCAGGTTAGAATGAAAGAGAACAGACAATGGAAGTTCAAACATACCATGATTTCTGCACAGCCAGACAGAGGGGCACTTAACTTTGTGCACAGAGAAAAATCACCCATATTTGCTGCGCAAGCCCTGAAAAGGGAAGGTAGGCAACTGCTGGCGCCTAGGTCAAGTAAGACTAAGGACAAGAGAATATCTAATTTGACTGTTCTGCTCCATGTTGTGCCATCATAAAAAACAATGTTCGATGCTAAAGGTGGACTCCTATGCATCTGCCTGCCAGCCGCATTCATAGTGTGCCCTATTGTCTCCTGGAGCCCTAGGACAGTGCAGGTATCCCTCATGCAGAACTCCTTCCTGTGACTGGATTGTCTTGACCTCTGCTGGCTTTTCTGGGGAAGGTGAAAACATCTTTATTTCCCCAGCTCTTTGATTTGAGTTTTGTTTGATTTTTATACCCGCTACACACAGATAAACTAAGCAGGCTCTTCTTTTACTTTTTTAATGTTCTTGTTACATTTATGTTTTATACTGAATTGTATTTAAATTTTAAATGGTTGTAAGCCCTCTTGAGACTTCTTTCAGCAGACAGCTAGCGATTCCATGTGTTAAATAAATGAACTGGAGGTTCAAGCGTTAGACCTGATGCTTGTGTTACATGTTCCACTTCCTGTAGAGCTGCAGTTGATAGGTTTGGAGTCTTTTCTGTGGCAGCACCCCTTATTTGGAACTCTGTTCTCAGGAAGATCCCCCCTTTTATTGTCCCTTATTGAGCTGGGGGAGACAACATAGTTCTGCTGAGCTTTTTGTTGTTAGTACTGCTTTCTATGAATCCCTTGGTTTTATTTAAAGTATGGCTCAGCTTCTTGCAGTGTGCACATTTCATTCATTGTGTATGTACATTAGTGTGACTGCTCACTGAGCAGAGCAGTCATCTGAAAACATTATAAACGAATGTGTCTGGAGCATCTTAAGGGCAGACAAGTGGGGATACTAAGTGGTAGAGCATATGCTTTGCATACAGAAAGTCCTAGGTTTTATCTCTGGCATCTCCACATAGGGCAGGCAGACCTCCTGCCGGAAGCTCCAGAGAGTTGCTGCCAGTCAGTGGTGGCAATACTGAGCTAAATGATTCAGTATAAGGGCCTGATTCAGTATAAGGGCAGCTTCTTATGTTCCAAATGTCTACTGTGATGAGTACCTTCTTGACATGTGTTCTGAGAACTTGTGAGTCTTCCTACCATGAAGTGTCAGTGTTAAAAGTATTTTTAAATTGGACAGAATGGTGTGAACTTAATTTTTTTTATACCTTTGATGAGCATTAACATGCTGCAGGTTTTGCAGCAGCAGAAGCCTGGGGAAAGTTAGCAGCTTGCAGTATCTTGTCTGGTAGAGCTGAAGGAAGAGTAGTAATTTTTTTTTTTTAATTCTCTTCCCTACCACCACCATTGGACAGATGCGTGAGGATGACAGAGTGGCTATCCATGAAGCTATGGAGCAGCAGACCATCTCCATTGCCAAGGTGAGTTGTGGGGCAGCACCAGCCTCTGAGAAGAACATTCCACATTTCTACTTTAAGCATCTTCAGCACATGGGCCTCATGCTTGTGACCTGTGTTCTTGTGTGGCTTTAAAATGTAAGACATTAATGTGGCAGGCTTTATTTCTCCTTAATGGCATGTGGCAAGAGCTGGTGGGTTTCCAGGGTGACTTCAAGCATCCTGTAACCTGAACCTGTACACCCAATCTCTGTTCAAGCAAGAGTCCAGAAAGTGACTTGCATATGGGGCTAGCAGCCCACCTATTTCTCTGTCCTTACTGCCATGCTTCCAACTCTTATTCACATCTGCCTCTTTTCCCCATGCAGGCTGGTATCACGACCACCCTAAATTCACGCTGCTCTGTGTTGGCAGCTGCCAACTCTGTGTTTGGACGCTGGGATGAAACAAAAGGCGAAGAGAACATAGACTTCATGCCAACGATCTTGTCCCGATTTGACATGATCTTCATCGTCAAAGATGAGCACAACGAGGAAAGGGACGTGGTAGGTGGGCTGGATAGCACGGGGCAGGGGCTGGCCCAAGGGGTAGCCTGCTAAGTGATAAAATGGGAGAAGAAAGACTGTATCTTTTGACCTCAACTTCATCCATTTGGTAGGGCACTAGGGATGTCAGAAAAAACTGCGACGGATTCCAATGAGTAAGGATTTCTAGGAATGCAGCCTATGGATTTTGAGGCAGAGTGGGTTTCCCTGAGTCACATGGATTCCGCAGATTAGTGGACCAGTTTTTTACTTTTCAGATTTTTTTGTGAGCACACTCATAAAAAATACAAATGTGCATTCACCACATAAGCTAATGCCCATAATGCCAGGACATGCAGTTCTCACTGCTGGATTAAACTGTTGGCTTTTGATCTGGGATATCTTGTGTTGAACTCCCACTTCTTCCTTGGAACATATTGCTACTTGTCAAAGCCATAGAACCTCTCTGCCTCAGAAGAGCGTAGTCAAGCGCACCATTATTTGTTTATGTCTTTATTTAATTTTGAATTTGTATACTGCCCACTAATCCAGATGGATTCTCTAAGCATCTTACAGTAAAATATTAAAAAAATGATAAAATCAGTCAAAATCACAATAAGCTAACTAAATAGCACAACTGCACCAAGAAAGTATTTGCTGTAAGAGCAGCATCATGAAGTATCATAATACTAGGGTAATGGAAAACTAAGCCATTGCTTTAAAAAAAGAGCTTGTCAACACCGTTCTCTTGCAAGTTAAGAGCCATGGCATGTCTGAGCACGTGTTCCTCGTGCTTCCTGCTTCCAAAACTTCTGCTCTGTGCTGCATCCTCAGACGCTGGCCAAGCACGTGATGTCTCTGCACGTGAGTGCCCTGACACAGACCCAGGCTGTTGAAGGCGAGATTGAGCTGAACAAACTGAAGAAGCTGATTGCTTACTGCCGCATGTGAGTCACCTGGAGGAATACTACCTGGGAAGGACAATGGGAGCTCTTAAGCAGGCTGCGGGTGGGGGAAGGGGGAGGCTTAACCAGGTGTGAGACGTGCTTTCATGTATCCTGACCATTCTCACTCTTACCCTTCTCAGCAAAAGCATCCTACAGAGGCTGAGAATTTCAGCAAAGGATCAGGAAAATGGAGAAGGGCTGCTTAGGCTTTTCCCTCTGGTTGTTTTCATCTCCTTCCTCTTTATCCCTCCCAGCTGCCATTGTGACTGCTAGGGAAAAAGAATGGATTTTCCAGTCCTCACCTGCAGATAGGAAAACAGCAGGGTGGGCAGAAGTGACTTCCGTTCTCTCTGTCTCTACATCAACCCTTTGCTCCTTTACTGAAATTTGGAGCAGGGGGGCTTAAGTGAAAGTGGGGGGAGGTTCATGCAGCTGCAGGGGAAGCTGGACAGGAGGGTGCTCTTGTGCTGAAGTTCTGGCCGTGGGCTTGCCATAGGCATCTGGGTGGCTGCTGTGGGAAGCTGGCTGCTGGACTAGATAGGCCTTTGGACTGCTCCATCCAGGGGTGTTACTTCTTTCGTTCCTATACAGCACAATAGCTGAAGCTTTCTGGGCATTTCAGAACAATTCTCAGAAATTACAAGCCATGGTATAAAATGGTATAAACATGGTGTAAAATGTTTAGCATAAAAAGTTAAAGCAATTTAAACAGCTTAACTGCCTGAGAGTAGAGGGCATTCATAGTCTAGTGCTGAAACAGTGACCAGGTGGGCCTCAGTGGAGAGCTGGTTGCACAATCAGAGCCAATACCGAGAAGTGCCTCTGCCTCCTTGTCCCTTTTGGCCCCTCTTTCGGGGACCTCAGATGTTGGTCATGGCGTCTGAACAGGCTAATGTTCAGAGATGTTCTAAATGTGCATAATGTCTAGCTTGGAACTTAGTTTTGCAGAAGCCTCCTGCTAGTTGCTGTGTTTGGGCTTACCAAAGGAAGGGTACCTTGTTCTTGAGCAAAGTCAAATTTGTAGAAGACTTTCTGAACACAATTTCCAATGGATTAGTATATGGGATATTGCTTAAAGCAGGCATGTCCGAAGCCCAGCCCGGGGGCCAATTGCAGCCCGTTTTCAAATTTCAAGCGGCCCGCAGCCTCTTCTCCTCACCGGCTCAGCCTGTCACTCATCCCCACTGGCTGGCATTTTTCCCTTCACCGCACAGCAGTTCCTGCAGCTGTCCCCTGCTGCCTCCTGCTCCTTCAAGGCTGGTGGTTATATTTCACCAGAAGATGGCAGTAGACCTGAGTCAGCACTCTCACTGCGTGACCCTTGTGACACAAGGCTTGTGTGCCCATTTCTAAAATGGCTACTGTAACTAAAAAAAGGAAAGTTGACAGTGAGGGCCACCGCTTCCAGGACAAGTGGAAATTGGAGTATTTTTTTTTCACTGAAATGCAAAACAACTGTATCTGCCTAGTTTGCCAAGAGACTGTGGCTGTTTTCAAGGAATTCAATATCAAGAGGCACTACCAGACGAAACATGCTAACTACAACAAGCTAACTGGGAACGAACGCGGCGAAAAATTGAAGGAACTGGAAGCTGCTTTAATGGCACAGCAGCGCTTTTTCACAAGAGCCTGTGAGTCAAATGAAATTGCCACAAAGACAAGCTACAAGGTGGCAATGCTGATTGCCAAGCACTGCAAACCTTTTACTGAGGTGAATTTATTAAAGACTGCGTGATGAAAATGGTGGAGAAAATTTGTCCTGAGAAGAAGCAAGAGTTTGCCAATGTTTGCCTGGCTCGTAACACTGTGGTACGGAGAACTGAAGACATTTCATCTGATATTAAGAGACAGAGGCAAAAGGAGTGGAGTTTGACTTTTTTCGTTAGCCTGCAACGAAAGCACGGATGCATCTGACACCGCTCAGTTATTGATTTTTTTGAGAGGAGTGGACAATGACATGAACGTGAGTGAAGAGCTACTTGACCTCCAGAGCCTTATGGACCAAAGAAGAGGAACAGGTTTTTTTGTTTCTGTTTGTTCCGCTGTAGATGACATGAAACTACTGTGGAATAAAGTCACTGGGATTATTACGGATGGCACACCTGCCATGGCTGGCGAGCGAAGTGGATTAACCCTAGTCTGTGACAAAGTCAGTGAAGAAGGAGGCAAAGCTATAAAACTCCACTGTATTATTCACCAACAAGTTCTCTGTGCCAAACATCTGAAATATGATCATGTTATGAAACCGGTGATGAAGGCTATTAATTATATTTGCTCCAAAGCCCTGTGCCACCACCAGTTTCAACAGTTTCTACTCGACATCCAGGCTGAATACGGAGATGTTGTGTATCACAACGAGGTAAGATGGCTCAGTCAAGGGTCTGCACTGCAGTGTTTCTACTCTCTTAGGGAGGAAATCGGACAATTCTTGGCAAAAAAGGAACAACCAATGCCAGAGCTATCCGATCCTGTTTGGCTGACTGATTTTGGATTTTTAGTTGACATAACACGACATCTGAACGTGCTGAACACGAGCCTTCAGGGGCAAAATGCAGTGGTAAGCCAACGGTATTCACATATCAAAGCCTTTGGGACCAAGCTGCTACTTTTCCATAGGCACCTGTCACAACCGCAGCCCAATACCACACATTTCCCATCGCTGCAGGAAATAATGACCAGTTTTCCACAGAACAATATGAGTGCGCAAATAAGGAGGTATGAAGCAGACATCTCATCTCTGGCTGAGGAGTTTCAACAGTGCTTTCGGGATTTTGCAGCTATTGAAAAGGAGATCACGCTTTTTTCATCTCCTTTCTCTGTGGACCCTGATGACGCTCCAGACCACCTGCAGCTGGAGCTCATTGAGCTGCAGTGTGACGCCGAGAGTCACAGTTGGCACCAACAGCTCCCTCTTGTCAACTTTTACCGCCAGCTGGATAAAGACAGGTTCCAAGAGATTCGAACATTTGCTAAGAAAATGCTGAGCTTGTTTGGTTCGACATACTTGTGCGAGAAGACATTCTCAGTTATGAAGATTAACAAGAACCGCGTGAGGACGAGACTAAGTGACTTTCACCTGCGTGACATCTTGCGCATCAAAACCACTTTTTGAGCCAGAACTGGCCTATATAATGCAGTCGAGATCTCAGTATCACCCTTCACATTAGTGCAGTTAAGTTATTTGTTTAGTCTTTCATAAAATAGTTCATTTGCATTTAATGTTAATGGTTCAAAGAATGTCAGGCTGAATGGTCAGCCCCCACACATTTTCACCTCACCAAATCTGGCCCTCCTTGCAAAAAGTTTGGACACCCCTGGCTTAAAGGAAGGAAGAAGTGGAAAGGAAACACCGGCACTCCTGTGAAATGTGATCTGCCTTTTTTAATACTGACCATGCTAGACTTTTAGGGGAAAGATCACCCTTCATTGGAGATGCCAGTGTTTCACAAGGTTTGGTGGACCCTGAATTTAGGCATTGAAGTTACTTTGAGGATTTTCAGAATATTCCATTAGGGCCCCTATTTGTATAATAGTGAAGTCCATTGTAGCTTGTCAGTTTGAATGAACTGGCATTATTGCATTAAATTGTATTTTATTTGCAAGTTCCTACATTCTTTTTAGGATACACTCTGAATTTGTATTGTATTCCTTTGCCCACTTACAGTGCTATATAGCTAGTTATTGATCTCAGATGTTAGCTTTTAAAGGCTATTCATGTACATGTTCTGGCCATAATAGAAATAAATGGCAACTCTGACATTTTGCTGACTGTTTCTGGGATGTAGTGAGCAGCATGTGAATTTGAAACTTTACATGATTTACCAGGTGTCGCTAAAGAGTGTTTTGCCATTTTACTGTTTTTATATAGTAGTAGTGATAGTTTTGCTACAGCAGATAGCCATGTAACAGTTCAAAAATAATGAATTGAACCATAACCTTTTGAAAACCAGAACCCCAAGTTGTTAAATGCATGAAATGGTTATGTATGTAAGTGTATATGCAGATGGAAGCTAACCAAACATGTTTGCTGCAGTTTCTCCACATAAACCTTCATGCTAAACACATTGCTCACTTTGGCTTTAAAATTTCACCATGGGCTCATTTTGTTTCTCTAAGGCAAACTGAGAAGAACAAATCTTTACCCAGCCCTCTTCCAGTCTGAGCCCTCTAAGCATTTTCCATAGCTTTGTTTTCTACAGTTGCAGCCATACTCCAGAAACCACAGTACAGTGTCTTCCAGAACAATATGGAAGCACATCATTTTTGTAACTTTTTTGTAACCTGCCTTCCCAACTTGGTTTGGACTTCCAATAGTGCTATCCAGTTAAATGGACAAGATTTTTTTTTAATAACAGAGAGCTCTCAGAGGCTATGGGAAAAGTCAAATTACATATTTAAATATCTGTTAAGAAGTAGAAAGCAACGTACAGTTTGAAAAAAAAACATGCTTTTCCATGGTGGGTTTGATTTAAGATCTGTGAGGGATCTGGTTGAACAGAGGGATCTCTAGATTTGTGCAAGAGCTTGATAATGCCTTCTGGTTTTGCTAAGTTCTGCAATGCCTCCTATAGGAAATGCGGCCCTCGTCTTTCTGCAGAGGCTGCAGAGAAGTTGAAGAACCGCTACATTCTCATGCGCAGCGGAGCTCGCCAGCATGAAAGGGAAAGTGACCATCGATCCAACATTCCCATTACAGTCAGGTAAGTGTGCAGCTTGTTTCTGGGTGGTGAACAGAAAAATGATGCTGCAGGGGACTATGGCCTTGAGCAAGTCCAAGGTTCAACTCATTCTGTGGACAAGATGGTTCACTCCTTTTCCCCCCTTTGGGTGGTTGGGGAACAGGTGCATTTGCATCTGGCTGCTTGGAGATAGTGGGGACATGGATGCTGCATGAAATGTAGGTGTCTAGGTGATAGTGTTTAGCCTCATCTCAAGAAATAGAGAAATGCTCCATAGAAATGCGAGCAGATAAGGGAGGAAAAGAGCCGTGACAATGTGTGTGCAAACCCACACCTCCTTCTCAGCCAGAGGGGCTCTTGGCACACACTCTGTAAAACAAGACAGGCCCTGCGATCAGGCTTACAGTCTTAAAAGTCATGACACAAAAGGACAAAGAGATGGAGAAGGAAGAGGGAAAAATTAAACATGCAATCTCATGCCTGTTTAGATTGAAAAAGACCTGTAACTCCCAGCATGCTTCAACCAGCATTTTTTCTGTAAGTCTAAACATGCAGAGGATTGTGCTCTAAGCAGTGTTTAGCAGGGTTAGTGCAATGGCCCTGCTCTCCTCAGCTCAGCCTGCTTGACTGGCTCCTGGTAATAACAGTGAGGAACCAAGAGCCGCCTTGGACAAGGCTTTTCAGCAGAGCCAGTTGAAACCATTGCCTTCTTTTGATGCTGCAGGTACGCAGGGTGCTTCTGGAGATGACACTTACCGCTCAGCTGCAAGTTTATCTTACCTAGTTCTTACCAAGGCGTTAAGCGATCCCTTCCAGCAGTTTGAGGATGCCATGTGAATTATTTCTCCCCCACCACTTCAAATAGCAGCAGACTAGAGGAGGAAAAGCCTCTTTTTAGTTACAAAGTCCTCCACTGTACTTTGGCTCACACTTGTACAACCAAGGCTGCATCCGGCCCTTTAAACTGTCTAATGGTTCATCCTCTCTTTAATCCTCTGTATGGTCTACACCTTTGCTCTGGCATGCAGCTAATGTTGCATTTGCCTCCTGTTGGCTCGGTCCATTTCTGGTGTTTTGGGAAGGTTTCAGATGCTTCTCTGAAGCTGTTTTCTGAGGCAGACAGCTGAGGCTTCAAGGCTGGGTCAGAACCAGTAAAATCTGTCGACTTCTCTGCCCCAGATGGAATTCTCACACAGCCCTAGTTCTTTCACCTGCTGATTTTTTTCAAGAATCTTTATGTACACGTCATGCAGGCAGCTGGAGGCCATTGTGCGAATTGCAGAATCCCTGAGCAAGATGAAACTCCAGCCATTTGCTACTGAGGCAGATGTTGAGGAAGCCTTGCGGCTTTTCCAGGTGTCAACGCTTGATGCTGCCATGTCGGGCAACCTCTCAGGTGAGTCAGGCTGTGGGAAATGCAGTATTTTTAGAGGATCGGTGTTCTTGGTATTCATAGTGATGCTGGGGGATGAAAACACACTGCTCTCAAAGGAAGTGACAATAGGTTGTCAGCGCTTTTTCAGGTTTTGGCTGGTCTTGTCCCTCTGGGGAGCATGTTCTCTTCTGACTATAAAATGTCTACCTGTGCTTCAGAATATAAAATGACAGCATGGCTTAAGAGGATTGCTGAGATCCTGCAACTTTCTCCAACCTGATGGCCTCCACAGGTGTTGAAATACAGCCCTCATGATCTCCATAAGTGTTGGACTACAACCCCCATCGGTTGGCAGTCATAGTCCAAGACATCTTGTCTCTGCCATGAACTGAGCAAGTGGCTTTAGGCCAGCCTTCCCCACCCTATAGCTGGGCACCTGCTTTTCATGTAGAAGGTCTCATGTTCGGTCCCCAGAATCTCCAGCTAGGGCTTGAAAAACCCCTGCCTGAAACCTTGGAGAGCCAGTGTCAACCGTACTGGGCTAGATGGTCCAGTGGTCTAATTCAATTTGAGACACCTTCCTAAGATCCTAACCTGGCATTCTCTAGGTATGTTGGAGTGTGTCTTCCAGCCACTGGCTAGCTTGCTGAAAGCTGCTTTAAGCAAAACATTTTCTTTCACACTCACTCCTATGTGCAATATGGTGATAAAGCAGACCTTATCTTACAGGGTTGCTTTAAGCATAACACTAAGAAAATGCATACAGAGGGGTTTGGACACTACTGCATGAGCCATAAAGTCTCAATCCACTAAAGAAATAGTCAGGAATGAGATCTGTTCTTCTTGGCAATGCCCTTTATTCAGACAGGCATGGTCCAACAGGATTTACAGGTGCCTGTGATTCTAGAATTCTAATATCCATGTTACTTTTACCTGCTTGAATTAATCAAGGTTGCCCCTAAGAATGAAAGGCCATGCTACTTTAACAGTTGGTCAACTTTAACAAGCCCTACTATGCTTCCTCATTTGGTAAAGTTGTGTTAAACCAGATCTCCTCTGACATTTTGTGTATATGAACATGTTCCTGAAGGTCAGAGACAAACTGCACGTTTTGAGCACAAAATGTACCAAGCATTGAATTGGGAGGCGCAGTGGGGTCCAGAATACTGTCTAGTCTGTTTCTGCTGAAAATGTGTGGGTGTTAAATGTAGCATCCCTTCCCTAGGAGTGGAGGGTTTCACTACCCAGGAGGACCAGGAGATGCTGTCTCGCATTGAGAAACAGCTCAAGCGTCGCTTTGCCATCGGCTCCCAAGTATCTGAGCACAGCATCATCCAGGATTTTGTGAAGCAAGTGAGTTAATTGAGTTAGGCAACTGGGGGATGGGAAGGGCTCAATGGAACCTTAGGTTAGGCTCACAAAACTTGTGACTGTTTAGGCCAACACAACCTACCAGACATTGACAAATGCACCTGAGTCCCTCGTCCCAGGTAGGCAGCAAAAATGAAGCTGTTTGCCCAAGCGAGAGGTTGAATTATCAGGAGATACACAACTCCCTTGTGTTGTGTGCTTCACACATTCCAAAGTTTATTTAAACCATTTTGATCCTGTTTCTCTGCCATGTATGGTCCCAGAGGGACTCGTACACAATCAGTAAAACACAGCAGTCCCTGGCCGCAAACTTAGAATCTAAAAAGACACAAAACTCAAGGAAGAAAGTGGGGAAGGGGAAAGGGGGAGAAGTCAAACATCTTCCTTCATATTCCAGGATTTTCGAGCTATGTAAGTCCCAGACTCGCTTTTTCACAGTTTCAGGTTGATATAAAGCAAGCTTAGAAATAACTTCTAAAAAAAACATAGTTACTTAACCCAAGATCCCTCTTATTATTCAACACCTGTCTGCTCACTCCCACCTGCTTCTGAGTGTGATGCAGTCCTGTTTGTGCAAGTCATACCAGAAGCAGTTTAAGGTGGATGCTATCTTAGTTTCTGAACATGCGCATTTCTGCACTGGCACGTTTTTCTGGCCTTGGGTAGCAAAAGTAGCCCCTCTGTCCCCTTTTGACCCTCAGTCCAGGCCACCAGTGGATTTTGTATTGTAACCCTGTTGTATTTTAAACTGACTCTGCAGAGCAAAGAGTAGTCAAAATTACACAGGTGTTGGCATTTTACCATGCCTAGCACTCTCTTCCAGGTTCAGTTGTTGCTTTTCAGTATCACACACTTTGTTTGAATGCCTTCTACCTGCTTGCCTCCCTCCCAGAAATATCCTGAGCATGCAGTCTACAGGGTGCTGCAGCTTATGATGCGTCGAGGTGAGATCCAGCATCGCATGCAGCGCAAGGTCCTTTACCGAATCAAGTAAAATAGAACCTTCTCCTGTAACCTTAAAGTTGGTTAGCTCTCCAGGCAGTCGGCATCAGAGTTTAAGGACGTCTCCCATACTCCCTGCCTCCATCCCTGCCTTGTGAAACAGACCTTCAGAGTGAAGAAAGAGGAAGTTGGAACACCTGCACCCTCAAGTACAGACATTCTTCCAGGCATGAAAGTCAACAGGGGCCAGATGATTATCAGAGCTCTAGCTTTTTAAATTTGTTTCAGCATCTTCACCTGGATGTTTTGCCATAACATTAAACGCCTTTTTAACTGCACTGAATAATAAAAAATGAGTTACGCATTTGTAACAAGCTGTGTGAAAGGGGAGGTGCGGGAGGCTGGGTTGTCACTTAGGCAGAGCTTATTTCTGTGAACTCCTTCCATTCATGCACTCTGGCAGGTGAGTTGTTTCGTGTTGTCAGTGATCATTGTGATCTCAGGTGACTCACACTGAGGTCACTGAGAGCACCCAGTGGCAAAAGGTTTGCACAAAACAAAGATGCTTCCCTTGAGAGGAGTGAGTTACAAGGCATGTCTATGCAACCTGACTCTCTTGTGTAAAGCACTGACAATCGGCAAGTAATTAGCCAGTACTTGTTCAAGTAATTCATGTGCGTCATCCAGTGGTACAGACGGAGTGCTGCTGTTTGTAACAAGGGTACTAGAATTAATCTTTCCCTTTCTGGATGAGCCACTTTGGTTAATTACATGGCATTTTAGATTGCTACAAATGCCATAGCAGAGGCAGTGGTGAGTTGACCCATGAATGCACCAAAGCAAATCAGTTAAGCTGCCTTCTGACCTTTGGCTACAGGAGAGCAGGGCATATATGTGCAGGCCTGTTCCATTTTAGGAAAAAAGTGGTGCCTGCCCGTGGCAGTGCCCTTCCAGAAAAAATGTCTGTCTTGGGCTCTTACAGGAAAAAACCTGTTGCATTTCATCATGTTAATTTTTCCACAAGGGGGCACAAAATAACAATAACGAGCAATTTACAAAAGGCATCACAAAAATAGTAATAGGAACAATGAGCATATTTAACAATCTAACATTTAAATCAGCAGCACATGAAAGCTTCCAGTACTGCAGCTTGGAAACCAATATCAGGCCAGTGCAGTATCAGTTACAGGTAATCCTTTCCAACCTACCTGGTCACTGAGGTCATGGGGTGGCAGTCCTTGGTGGTGCTGTATGGACTTGTGGCCCAGTTGGAGCCCCCCTGAAGAAGAACCTCCGGTATAGCAGCTCCACCTCTTTGGAATGCCCTGCCTTGTGTCTGCAGCTCAGACCGGTGCCAACAATGTTTTCAGTACCTCCTGAAAATACATATATTATACCACCTACCATGGTTTTATTGATCTTGGTTTTTAACATAGTTTATCTGTTCACCTGTGTTATCTTCCATTCTAGTATGGAATATAACTTATCCTAGTTATATTCCATACTAGAATATGGATTTATGGCTCTGTAAGATGTTAATAACTCCCTCCAAGGCCTCCCTCGACAGTCTTCACTAGTTAACTCGTGGTATATAGCAGGGAGCACATCACAGCAAAACAGCACTGCTGCCAAGAAAGGCCCAGTTCTACCCATGGCCATAGAAGGGAAGGGTCAGATATTAAACTGCTTGGCATGCAAGAGGCATCCCTGGGTAGTGCTTGGAATTATTGCTGTCTAAAACCCTAGAAAACCAGTGCCAGACTGGGTTTGCACATTACTGAAAGCCATAGTGTATGATAACCATGGTTTGTTGCATTAGCCATGAATTGTCTTTCAGACAAGCATACACTGCAATTTGTTCTCCTCGTTTCTGCTTTGTTTCTCTTTCACCCATTCTGTCAGCCTTCTTCAAAGTTTTATATTCAGGCTGTGCTTGCTGGGCATCTCTGTTTCAGGCAGACAGTAGCGCAAGCATGTTATGACTCATCCCAGCAATACTATTCTTTTTCAAGCAACAGTTGCTAAGTGCGCATTGTGAAGGTATTTGAATTTTGCTAACTCAGATGGCCAGTAGAGGGTGCTCGCAATTTGGGAACAACCGGCGTGCTCTAAGCCTCTGGCTGCAATGGGTTAAGTGGCTTTATGGAAAGAAAAAGGGATGAACTGGCTTCTGATCAGAAAGTGCTTCTGCTGCCCTCAGCTGGAAGGATACTGATTGAGCGCTGCGTGAGATCTGCAAACCACCCGTTCCACTTCGAAGAACATAAAAGCCCTGCTGGGTCAGACCAAGGGTCCTCCTAGTGCAGCTTTCAGTTTGCACTGCGGCCAACTAAATGCCAGCGGCAAGCTCACAAGCAGAATAGGAGTGCGCTAAGACCCTCCAGCCCAGGCTCCCCAGCAACTGGCAAACGGACGCACACTCTGGTACTGGAGGATGCCATCAGGGCCGGCATGGGTGGTGTTCGGCCTGGAGAGATCCAGGGCTCTGGCCCACAAGACTTCCAAACTGCAGGCATTTGCATGTGGTAATTTACATGTACTCTGCAATGTCTGTGTTCTGTCCTTTTCTCTTCAAGGAACTCAAGGTGGCTTGCCTAATCTTCCACCTCTCGATCTGCTCACAACAACCCTGTGAGGTAGAGGTTTGTCTCCTAAGGGCACCCCATTTGTTAAGGGATGTAAGGGCAGGGGAGAAGAGGGACTCTGATTGCATCAAGAACCAAAAGGAAGAAAAAATCAAAGTGGGGCAGCAGGAGGTGAAGCGCACATAGGCGAAAGGCCAGCTCATCTGGGGAGAACCGATGCAGCAGAAATGCACAGGGCCCCTGTAACTTCCTTTCAGCAAGTGCTCCTGGAGAGCAGGGTGGTGGGGCAGACAGCTGCAGATGAGGGAGGAAAGGCTGCAGTCCTGGTGGGCTGCTTCTGTCTCTGCTTCTGAGAGCTAGTCTTGGTAATGAAAGCTTTGGGTACTTTCAGAGTAGACAGCGGCATGCTTCAAAAGTGGACTACGAGTAGGGGTTCAAATGCCGTCATCTTCAGCCTGCAATCCCCTCATGTATTCCTGCTATAGTTTTAAGTAGTGCAGCGAAGCAATTTGCAGTCGTGGCCTTAACAGTCTTCCGATGGTCATCTGCTTTGCTTCAGTCACGAAACACACAAGTTACGTTTCACTTGCCTCTGCCAAGTGCTGTCACATACTTTAAAGCTGCCTCTCCATTACTGATGCGTTGGAACATCAACAACAGTATGATAATCAAGGCTGGCAAACAATTTATCATGGTTTTTATCAGGGTTTCAAACCCTGTGGGAGGAAAAAAACCCCCAGAGCATTTTCAGTTTTGTATTTTAAGCTCAGTTAAATCATAGCAACATTGTGACTGATGGAATATAATGAATAAAATGGCTTTTTCTGCCCTGATACACTCACCACCTGCAGCTCTCTTAGATGGTCCTTCAGGCCTCCCCAGGGCTGCAAACCTCCCAGTGCCCAGTTCTAGCTGCACAACTGGCTGCTTTCCTTCTTCAAAAAAAGGGAAATGGGGATGAAGAAACAGAATGCACAATATCACCATCACCAATACACAAATCCTTTTAATAAGGTGAGAGGTAATGCAGTGCTTATTGATCAAGCAGCTACAGGACTGTGTGCCCACTTTGGGGCTGATCCATCGCGACAGGGCCAACACTTGACACAAGGATGGAATGAATGCCTATCCCTAAGCTTGAGTGGACTCCGGGGGATGGTGGAGGACAGGAAGGCCTGGAGGAATGTTGCCCATGGGGTCCGGATGGGTCGGACACGACTTCGAGACTAACAACAACAACAGCAACAAAGTGTGGAATATCTACAGTTCACTGCAGTGAACTCCAGATACCCCACTGAATCTTACTGACTTGGGAGCTGCCCTTTTGTTCCTTCTCAGGTTTCTGTAGTTTTACATGAGTCCCTGGCCCTGATTTAGATGATACAAAATGATCGGGCCCCAAAAGCAAACTTTTTCAACACATTGTTTGAACTTGAGGAAGGAGCCCTCAATGAAATCCACAAGCCCTATCCTCATTTTAGCTAATTGTGTCTCTTCCTATCACCATGTAAAATATTGTGCTTGGAATAGAAGAGGATCAGATGTGGTCTGGACCACACTGTCACTTTAAGCACTATTGCATCAGCCCATGCTGTGGTTAGGATTGTGCCCTTTTAACTAGATGGAATTTCTAGCAAGATCTAGCTAGATTTGTAGAGATACAGACTTTTTGCTGGACAGAAACGCTTTGGCAATTTAATTAAGCCCAGACTCTGCCAGAGTGCCTGCCTGGTGTTGCGGTTAGTGGTGCAGAATGGTGCTTATACTAGTTTTGCCTTTGGCAATTACTTTGTTTAAAGGGTTGCTGCACCTCTACCAGAATGTAAGAAGAAATGAAGCCATGCTGTAAGAATTACTAGCAAGTCAAAAAGAAAGGCTGTGATTGGGTTCACAGGTCACAACAACCCATTGGGAGTTCTTCCCCATGATGGGTTCTTGTGTCTTGCAAACTCAGACCAATTTTCCTAGGGTGGCTTGTTCATACGCAGCAACCCACCCTGACAGCATGTGCTGTTACGGGGGTTGTCGTACTCACAAGGACTCATCATGCCTTCTGAGCCCAGATAATCAACTCCATAAAGGGTTCAGGGAATTGGCTACTGAGTCCCTTGGCAAGAACAACAAAAAGTCCTTGCTGTTCTTGGCAAGTGGCTTCCACATGACCACCAGTAGCAGCTGTCTCAACACCAATGCAAAAGCAACACCTGGGGACAGCTGGCACTGGCTTTCCACACTCTTGAGCTGTTGAACAATTGTGAGCTGTTTCAGGCTTACAATGGATTTTTTCCTGTTGTTCTGTCATTGCTGTTGTTATTTTCTAAAGACTGCTGAAAGCTGGCTGTTGAACTTACTTTTCTGATGCATGCTTTGATAGATATGGACAATCCATTCAAAATGCCCTCATAGCACCTTTGGTTTACCCAACCCTTTCCAGAATTTTCTTTTGCAGTAATTTTTGCAAATATTGTCCAAAAAAATTAATAATAGTTTACCTGCACGGCTACAAACACTTTCAGTTGGATGGCGACGGGAACCTTAAACGTGATACAAGCAAGAGTGCCTGCTGACAAAGTCCAGCAGATTCCCACCCTGGGTTCAACAAACCATTCCATGTATGCGCAGAGATTCTGTCTGGGTGACTTGCAGTGGAAGCAATAAAGAACATTTTTAAGGAAACAGACTGTGGCTGGCCTTTGCTCGAAGAAGGAACCTCGACTCATGACAATAATAGGTTGGTAACAAGGGTTTAGATTCCTCAGATGGATTCCAAACCACATCA